ATTGACCAAATAAAGGGGTCTGTAATAAGCAAAATATGTAAACCGGCTCGTCGTTTCTCAGATGATGTTTTACTGTCCTGTGTCTGGACGCGGCATTGTCCTTACAATTTGTACCCTCTAGTCATAATTATTTGCCTATACAAGTCCCCAAATTGCTGAAGTGCCACTCTCTCCCGTCTTTTACAAGCACACGCAAGTTCTACCATAATAAATAATAAGTACTCATAATAAAAAAAAGTACCTTGTTGGGCAAATTCAAGTTCATGGATCCTGTTCCTAGCAATACATCCACGATCTTCCAGTTTCGAAACGAAACAGCGTAATGCAGAGCGTTGTTTCCCTGAAAAATGAGAAAAATAATCAGAGATATCACATAATTAGTCTTAATAATAGGCGTTTCCATCTTTCCTGAGGGGTTCTTAAAATCCAGTTTTAGAAAATGTGCCTCTTATGCAAACCGTGGAAAGTTGATCCTTGGGAAGCGGAACGTCACATGACCTACATCGGGAAAACAAACCAGACAAGCTAAAGAGGTCTATTCGAGGTTCAATCTCCAAGCGTATTGTGGGATTTTTCGGAAAGACCTATTAAGACAGTTATTTTTAAACAAATTTCAAAGGTAAATTGCAAATAACCTAACGACTTACATTGCTGTCAACCAAATTGACAATGGTCTCTAGAAGCATGGGAATTTGATTCTTGAATATCTTCAGAAGTCCTTTGATAATCTCTGCATCACAGTCTCTTGAACTTACACATCGAAACCAATTGCCTTCCACAGTACTCATGCAGGAAATCTGAGAAATCATGACAAATACAAGTTGTAATGCAGCTAAAAGCTGGGTGCAAATTGTTTCCCAAATCAAGGAGCAAAACATGGATGAGTCCTAGCACTCCACCCTACCCTCCCTACCCTCCCTGCCCTCCCTACCTTTTTGTGTTGTTTGGTTTTCAGTATTATAGTTTTAAAAGGACATATTTTTTCTGCCCGCTTGTATCGCTTCTTCACCAACACACGTTTTTTACTCCCAAATTTTCAAAGGATTTTTCTTTTTCTTTCTTTCTTTTTTTGAACAACGGTGATAAGTTTACGCGTAAACGAAAGAAACAAAGAGCGTATCTCGTAGGGAGAAAATTCTTCTCCCCAGGGCGCCTCTGATTTTTTTCTCCCGAGGGGCTCTGTACACCCCGTGAGGGTATACACCAAACAAACTGAAAGAAAGTGGAGTTGATTCTTTCAGCAATAGTATCCAGTGCATCAAAGCGATTTATGTGGTAAATAGCGCTTAGAGATTAGCCAAACGTTACCAAGGCACTCAGTATTTGCATATCACACAAGATCAAACATACTTAAAAGTGGGCTATCTGAGGTAATCCTAATGTGTTTTCTTTGTAACTCCTACATTCCAAATGGTGGCCGAATTGAAAAAATTCGCACTTTTATTCGCACAAATTTCTTTTTGTAAAATCTTAAGAAATAAATAGCTCAATGTAGAAGTTCTGCAAAAGAGGTGTCATTTGAATGGTAACACTGTAGGATTTTATCGACAGATTTAAAAGTTAGAGTGAAAAATAATCTCGCAATAACTTGGTATAGAACGGAAAGGTTTAACTTAGAAAAGAAACATGTTAAGCTCAATGTCAGACATGTCGGCCTAACGGGTTTTCTCACTCCTTACTTAAAGGACAGGCCAGTGGGGCCTGAACTAATGAGATTCATCACAAGAGAGGAATATTGCAAGTATTCCTCTGCTACAAACAAGAGACCTGTGCTTGTAGGAGTCGTTTGCCATAGAAACTTGTTGGATAATCAAAAGCACTCCTAACACAGTGGGATTATTATGGGTGCATTTCAAACGTCAGAACTGGCCGGCCAGACCATGGCTGGAGCAGTCACTTTGACAATGAAATAGGCCTTTCCCAAGAGTTTTTGCTGAAAAACCATCTCCTTCAGTTCATGCATACTATTTAGAATTTGACTAATCTGGTTGGATAGTTTTGATTTAAAGTGAAATTCTCATTACTGCGTGAATGGACTGGCTGGTTAGTTCTGACAAATGGAAAGCGCTCTAACACTCCATCAAAAATGTCTCCTTTTTAGCCCAGTTTTCATTCTACTGTGGGGCTGAGTAAACAAAAGTTAAGCTTGCTGAAAAAACTTAACTAAACAAGATAAACAAGTATCAGATGAAATAAGAAGTTAGCAAACTGACAATCTGTCGAGGTTTCAATAAAAACCAACTGTGAGTTTCTCGCAAGCAGTTTCCCGCGCTTGGTACCTAAGTGAATTTGTTTCGACTTCTGATTGGTTCTTAGATTGTCATCCTAAACTGTGATTGCTCAGAGCTATTGATGTGGTTTTGGGTTAACGACACTTAAGCGAAATTCGCTCTGACTTTGGAAAATGAAACACTGAGTAGACTAGCAAACCTTTCGAGGTTTTCCAATTGGATCAAAGCTGACATTTCCGTAAATCAACAAAGCCAAGTCCTTGAAATTCCTTTGCATGGCGATGGAAAGGGCTGTGCTGCCTTCCTGTTGGATAAATAGAAAAGAGCGTGCTGCTAAAATCATCTATATCGCATATTTTGCATCTTTTATTGAACAGAAAACATTTTTACAGGAAGAACACTACGTGATAACCCTCAAATTTTTGTCTTCCTCACGGAATGTGACGCGATATTCGAAAAACAGACAAACAAACAAAAACAAAAGAACATCCCACACAACTTAGCTGTGATTGTCTCTAAGATAAATGAGACGATGTTTGTGCCAAACTTCTGATAATAATGACCTGGACTTTTAAACTTTATACTGACATTAGTGGACAAAATCAACGTTAATGAAAACCTCCAAATTTCAACTAGCAGAATGGAACACAAATAGCACCACGAGGAAGGTCCACTGAAGAGATTTCATTTGAATGTCACAAAATAGGTTTTTTTTATCCAGACTCTCAACAAAGAGATACATAATTGCCTAGTTCCTCGGCCTCATTAGTCCGCGCGGCTGGAAATGCATTGACCGAGAAGGTCTGGGAAGACACCGTACAAGAGCTAAGCTATATAACACACCGTGAACGTATTACAGTGAAGCCGCATACTATCCCTGTAGACCAAAAAGAACCCAAACGCTGGTAAAAAAATGAGACTTACATTATCTTCTATCGAGGGATCGCACTCAGGTTCCAAAAGCAGACGCTTGGCGATATTGAGATGACCATGTTCGCATGCGCACATCAGCGCTGTAGATCCATCCTAGCAAAGACACAAAGCAAACCAGTGATATTTTTAAAAGGAAACCTTCAAATATCAACTCCTTTCCTCGACTCCTGCGGCATATTAGTTTGCGGTCCTTTGCAGTCCTTTGTGGTCAATGTGCGTTCCTCGCGAATAGTTAATTGTGGAAGCCAATTTCACGATTGTTTTGCCTGCACGCTGGAACCTTGTGATTGGGGAGTTAAGTCTCTTACCACTTTCTTGGCCAATCAGAAGTGACTTGAATACACAAGCTTTCCTACGCTTAGCGCCGGCTACACGCATTTGCTTCGAGTTATGATTGGTTCGTCAAATTCTCTTCAGCGATTGTGATTGGCCGAAGTTACGATTAGCTTATTTAGTGAACATCCGGTATTGTTATTGGCTAAAGGGATTGTGCTTTGACCTTATTTAATTGTTGAAGTGTACCACATTTTTCAAAACAGAGATTGAAACCCTTTCTCAGAATAAGATGCTTCGACTAGGGACCCATGCCATAGGCAAGAAGTGACTTAGCTACAAGTATAAATCGTTTGGCAGCACTCAGAGTTGGTCGCTAACATTTAGCCATTTAAAAAATGAACCAAAAAGATAAGCTTTCTTACTTCGTCTGCAGCATTTATATCAGCTCCAGCTTCCAAGCAAATCTCGACCATCTCCATTCGTCCTCGGCTAACAGCCAACATAAGCGGACTTTGTCCTGTCTGGTGCCGTCAAAACATAATAAAAAGAAAGCAAGTCAGCAGTGGTTTTTACCGCTACGCAATGTGATTGGCTTAAATATCACGTGCCAATCTCAGCCAATCACAAGTGAAAACAAAACTACCCGTGACTTTCCCGCGCTCACTGCTCGCTGCACGCAGCGTTTGCTTCAAAGCCTGTTTCATTTTGTGCACTGCATAATGCCGCCTTTCATGACTGGGTTTCGTCTAATGAAAATAAAATTTCCCTAGACCGCCGTTTACAAACTACTTACATCATCAACCTGCTTGTTGACATCTCCCGCTCGAAACATCTTCCTGGCAATTTCTTTGTCGTCCTCTTTTGTAACTCCCGCTAACGACGCCATCATTACCGGCGTGTAACCAGCCTGTAATTATTAACATCAACATATATTTAACGCTGGGAGCCCCCGGGCGAGCGCCTGTGGTTCTTTGGGTGTCCTGTCGCTACGTAGGCGTTACATTCTCGATTTTAGTTGTCAATGTTGTAGTTAATTTTTTATCTCCTGTAATTTTTCTTTTTCTTTTGTTTTTGGGTATGGTAATGTATGCTAATGAAGTTGGAACAAAAGAAAAAGAAAAATTACCGGAGATAAAAAATTAACTACAACATCAACAATGATTTTTAGCAGAAACGGCCTGCAGTGTCGTCATTCTAATTGCGTTAAGTTTCGCATATTGTGGCTCACGTAAACAGTTTCAAGTTATTTTCGTAGGACTGTAAACAGGCGACTCAAAGACCCAAAAAACAAAGAACTGATTTTAGGGCCCCCTTGTAGTCCTTTATCCCACAACTATTAATTGACCAAATACAGGGGTGTGTAATAAGCAATAAGTGTATACCAGCTGGTCGTTTCTCAGATGATGTTTTACTGTCCAGCGTCTGCTCGCAGCATTGTACTTACAATTTTTAACCTCTAGTCATAATTATTTGCCTATACAAGTCCCCAATTTGCTTAAGTGCTACTACCTCTTGTCTTTTACAGACAACGCAAGTTCTACCACAATAAATAATAAGTACTCATAATAAAAAAAGTACCTTGTTGGGCAAATTCAAGTTCATGGATCCTGTTCCTAGCAATACATCCACAATCTTCCAGTTTCGAAACGAAACCGCATAATGCAGAGCGTTGTTTCCCTGAAAAATGAGAAAAATAATCAGAGATATCACACAATTAGTCTTAATAATGGGCGTTTTCATCTCTCCTGAGGGGTTCTTAAAATCCAGTTTTAGAAAATGTGCTCCTTATGCAAAACGTGGAAAGTTGATCCTTGGCAAGCGGAACGTCACATGACCTACATCGGTTAAACAAACCAGACAAGCTAAAGAGGTCTATTCGAGGCTCAATCTCCAAGAGTATTGTGGGATTTTTCGGAAAGACCTATTAAGATAGTTATTTTTAAACAAATTTCAAAGGTAAATTGCAAATAACCTAACGACTTACATTGCTGTCAACCAAATTGACAATGGTCTCTAGAAGCATGGGAATTTGATTCTTGAATATCTTCAGAAGTCCTTTGATAATCTCTGCATCACAGCCTCTTGAACTTACACATCGAAACCAATTGCCTTCCACAGTACTCATGCAGGAAATCTGAGAAATCATGACAAATACAAGTTGTAATGCAGCTAAAAGCTGGGTGCAAATTGTTTCCCAAATCAAGGAGCAAAACATGGATGAGTCCTAGCACTCCACCCTACCCTCCCTACCCTCCCTACCTTTTTGTGGTGTTTGGTTTTCAGTATTATAATTTTAAAAGGACGTATTTTTTCTGCTCGCTTGCTTCGCTTCTCCACCAACACACGTTTTTTACTCCCAAATTTCAAAGGATTTTTATTTTTCTTTGTTTCTTTTTTTGAACAACGGTGATGATTTTACGCATAAACGAAAGAAACGGAGAGCGTATCTCTTAGGGAGAAAATTCTTCTCCCCAGGGCACCTCTGCTTTTCTCTCCCGAGGGTCTCTGTAGGATATACACCAAACAAACTGAAAGAAACTGGAGTTTATTCTTTCAGCAATTATCCAGTGAATCACAGCGATTTATGTGGTAAATAGCGCTTAGAGATTATGGCCAATAAGTTACCAATTATAAGGCACTCCTATTTGCATCTCACACAAGATCAAACATACTTAAAAGTGGGCTGTCTGAGGTAATCCTAATGTGTTTTCTTTTTACCTCCTACATTTAAAAATTTCGCAAAACGTTCAAATTTGTTTTTGTAAAATCTTAAGAAATAAATATTTCTATACAAAAGTTCTGCAAAAGAGGTGTCATTTGAATGGTAACACTGTAGGATTTCATCCACAGATTTAAAAGCTAGAGTGAAAAATATTTTCGCGATAACTTGGTATAGAACGGAAAGGTTTAATTTAGAAAAGAAACATGTTAAGCTCTATGTCAAACATGTCGGCCTAATGGGTTTTCTCACTCCTTATTTAAAGGACAAGCCAGTGTGGTCTGAAATAATGACATTCATCAAAAGAGAAGAATATTGCAAGTATTCCTCTGCTACAAACAAGAAACTTGTGCTTGTATGAGTCGTTTGCCATAGAAACTTGTTGGATAATCAAAAGCACTCCTAACACAGTGGGATTATTATGGGCGCATTTCAAACGTCAGAACTGGCCGGCTAGACCATGGCTGGAGCAGTCACTTTGACAATGAAATAGGCCTTTCCCAAGAGTTTTTGCTGAAAAACCATCTCCTTCAGTTCGTGCATACTATTTAGAATTTGACTAATCTGGTTAGATAGGTTTGATTTAAAGTGAAATTCTCATTACCACGTGAATGGACTGGCTGGTTAGTTCTGACAAATGGAAAGCGCTCTAACACTAACAGCCCAGTTTTCATTCTACTGTGGGGCTGAGTAAACAAAAGTTAAGCTTGCTGAAAAAACTTAACTAAACAAGATAAACAAGTATCAGATGAAATAAGAAGTTAGCAAACTGACAATCTGTCGAGGTTTCATAGAAAACTGCCTGTAGATACTGTAAAATTACCATTTGCTCTCTGCCAATTTCTTTTCCCTTGTAAAGGTGGCCATTCAACAGTTTACATGCAACGACAACTTCATCTTTGATTCTGCAACATGATATTAACAAAACTTTAGAAATAAATTCTTATATTGTTGATAGGTGACATACAGGATGAGAAATTTTTTGGATAGTGTAAGAGTAGGGCAGAGAAAATGATTAGAGAAGGGAGGGGAGAGAGGGCAAATGAGCTCAGTAGGGTTGGGGATCATGAGATCAGGGGTGTTCAAAAGTATAAGGAAAGAAATAAAGAACAGTGTGTCTGTGGGGGGTGGGGGGGTAGGGGGATGAGAAAGCAAAAGGGAGAGGCGAGGAAGAGGGGGGAAGGAGATGGTAGGGAAATGTGAGAAAAAGAAAACAAACAGGAAAGACAATATTTCTTGCCAATCTGGACGTTAAGTATCGAGAAATATTGTTTTAATGTTAAATAACAGAAGATATGGATTGCCATTCTAAAAACTGCAACTCCCAGTGGGAAAAATGTTAAGGCTATTATCAGGTCTTATCTGCCAATATCATATCAAAACAAGTAAAATATTTATGCACATAATGGGTACTGAGAAATGTAAGGGATGAATGGTATTTTGATGTTAGATTAGAACTGTTAGAGCAATATAACCAAAGAAAATGAAGTCAACACTTATCATATCTTTTTTCAATCTAGCTTTCTTAGCAAGGAAGCAAAATGGCAAAACAGACCAGAAATTTGACAGAAAACAAAGAGTTACAAGCATCATTTGGGAATAATTGACTAGAAGCACACCATCATCTTTTTTGTTTCATTATTTACAGAAAGTCTACAGTTACAGCAGAGAAATTCCTTTCATAGCTTCAGCTGAAACATTCCAAAATCTAGCTAAAACTGTGGATTAATAGCTTACCACATTTTTTTGCATAGCTGCAAAACAATAATTTTATTGAAATTTCATTTTAGTTCTAAGCTTCCACAGGGCACTTACTAACATAGTAGTTATATAAAACTGAACCGCACTGTGGTATGTACAGGGTTAGCAGACAAAGGAAATTGAGAATCAACCTAATTTGAAAATTTTTAACCTGAACTAAAATTGGACCTGTAATATATCCAAATGGTCAATCTGCCAATGACAAAATCTGGATATGGATCACAGCAGACCGGATCAGCCCTCTGGTACAGCCCTGTCTCTAACCTTCTGTTGTTAAGAAGTTATGGGGGTTGACCCAATCTGGTTCAATCCAGGTTTTGTTTACACCCTGATCAAACTATAAAATTTCATTCAGAAACTTTGAGGTTCAAAACCTATTAACACTGGTCAATTTACACTAATTACATAAGCGACTTTTAAGTCTTCATTGCTCTTCCAGGTGTTAAAAATGGTGATTAGTCATGATCATGAAAAAAAATTATTAATCAGAAAAAAAAGATCATTTCGTAGCCATTTTATTGAGCAAATAACAATTAGGTTCCAAGGAAAATTCACAGCAATATATATTGGTCCGTTAAACAGTTAAAAGTGAAGCTGTTTAAAATGTTAAAAGCCCTTTCCATGTTTTTAAAAAGTTTCCTTTATATTTCATGATATAATTATATGTGTAAAAAGTGTCCACATAAATTTGCACAAATCAAGTGATCAATACAGGAAAATCCTGAAAAAAATGTACTTAAATAGTAATCTGCAACATTTCTCTGTCTATATGAGATTTAAACCCCTCCAAATTGTTGAAACTGTTTAAAACAAGAAAACAGTGATCTCATAATAAAACATTCCACAACTACAGAAGTTATTCGCAGAAATTTGATTAGCCAACTGACTGCTAAATATACATGTTTACTGCTCAAAAGGGAACAAAATAAAGAAATCGGCAAATGACTGCTTAATGGAGGGTTACTTATTGGTTTCCTTGAGACAGATTTCACAGACAAAAATTAATGTGGAATGAAAATACCTTCCTGTTGTTTCACATTCACTTTATACTTAACTGTGAGGCAACATGTGGCAAAATATTGGTGAGTAGCTAAAACATATATCTAAATCATGATTGCCAGTCATCAAATTTTAGGGTGTACAATTTGTTGACCAATAACACTAGGAAATCTGATATAGCAAGCAC